ACATCTGCTCATCCTCACCCAGGACACACACCCCTACTTGCACCTCCTCAGGCAAACCCACCCTCTAGCAGCTGCATCCGTCCCCAGCCATCCACGTGCTCATCTCCAGCATAGATCTGCCAGCACTGCCTCAGCCAGACCCTGAGCCGAGCGCCAGTTTCTCCTGAGGTCAGTGACACCTGCACAGCTCCCCAAGAATGTAAGGGTTATTTTCGCATTAGAACGCTAATCAATAGAATTCATTACATTAATAAAGAAGAACATTTATATAATCTTTTCAATCAATACAAAAAAATCATTTGACAAAATCCAACACTTATTTATGATAGAAACTCAGCTAGGAATGAAAGGAAACTCCCTCGATCTGACAAAGGGCATCACAGATAACCTACAGGAAACACCATACTCACTGTGGGGGGACTGGGAGCTCCCACTATGCTTAGTAGCAAGGACGGTGCCTACCACTTCCATTCCAATGGTTCTGGACTCCGATCAGGGGAAATAAGGCCAAAAAAAAAAAATGCTTCCAGGCAGGCAAGGGAGAAGTAAACCTTTCTATTTCTACATTATGACTTCATTGTGTATACAGAAAAATCCAAAGGAACTTACCCCATAACTATGAACCAGTAAATGAATTAGCAATCTTATAGGCTATGAGGTTAATAGACAAAAAATATATTTCTGGCAACAAACAACTGAAAAAAGGAAACTAAAAATACAATAGCATTTATAAGCATCAAAAAACAAAAGTACTTGAAAAAAAAGTAAAACGTGTATGCTCAAAGCTACAAAATACTGTTGAGAGAGATTCAAGAAGGTCTCCATAGATGAAGGTAGATGGAGAGGTATACCATGCTCATGGATTTTAATATTGATCTATACAATCAAAAAGCCTCAAGTGTCGTGTCTGCTGGTTATGCTTCCTGGGCATATCCAGGTACTGACCTCTTCTTTCGGTCTCCATCACCTCCCACCTAGCTAGGACACAACCATCTGTTCCTTGGATGTCTGCAACAGTCCCCAACCTCCAGTCTGTCCCCAAGACCTCAGCCAGAGGGAGATGTCAAATAAACTCCCATCAGGCCCTGCTTAAAACTGCAATGGCTGCCCTTACCCAAGAGAAAAGACCCAAGCTCTTTAAATGGCCTCAAGGCCCTTTTTTTACCTACCCCTCCAGGCTTAACGCTCACCATGTTCTCTGAACCTGCCCCTCTCCCACCTGCACTGCAGGCACAGAGAGTGCCTTTTCATTCCCGGGGATGCCCAGCTCCTGCCAGCTTCTGCCCTGCTCCTGGCTGACCCTAATCAAGGATCACCCACACATCATCTGCCACCTCCATGTCAGGACTATCTAGGGGCCCCAGACCTGCAGAACTGAATACTACAGGGAGCGGGTGGGCACATCCTGTCCCCAAACTCACCCTCAAAATTGAAGAAGACCTTTTCCTTAAGGAGCACAGCCATGTCCAAAGACCCCAAAGAGTTCCCAGGAGCAAACTGACTCTTCTATTCACCTCAAAATGCAGCAAAACCAGTTTAAATCTGTTAAATGTTGGGGGCAGAATCCAGTAAAATCAAATGAAGCATCCATGGGACACTGAGTAAGAAACTATTGTGACAGAGCAAAGAGAGCCTGGAACATGGGAGAACTAACTTGGCCGCAGTCTGGCCGTCCCTGCCCCCTTTCCATCCCGCCTCCTGTCCAGGAAGTCTGGCAGGCCAGGCCCCTTCCCTGTCTACCTGCTCATAGGGCACCAGGGTCTCAGTATTCACCACAGAAGCTCTGCCAACCTCCACGCTGATCCAGGCTTGGGGGAAGGAGGGTGGGCGAAGACATTAGAGAGAAGAGCCAGGACCCGGACTGGGTAGCACACGGCTCCTCCGGAGAAGGTACCATGCCTCTGCAGCAGGAAGTGAAAATGAGAAGGAACTGCAAACAAAGCGGGCAAAGTCTGCTGAGAAGGATGGGAAATCTGTTTTCACCTGCACACACACCTGTCTGCTACAACTGCCAGCTACTGTGCACAGGAGGGAGGCGGTCTTCACCCTCTACTGGCAGGTCCACAGAGCATCTGGGGACGGACCCTAGGTGGGCCTGGCTCTGGCTGGACATAGCCCTGGGCTCAGCACTGGCACTCAGCTTGGCTGGGCAGGCTGCTCCTCTGGGTTGCATGGAACCCCAGCTCAGCCCGAGCTGCCCTGCCCTGGGCTCCACACCAGCCACAAACATGAGAATACAAAGACTGAGGCCCAGTGTCTCAGGCATGGGAGATAGCAGGCCATGGGGTGGGAGGGGGGCCTGCTCAGACCCTGGAAGAATGGGGGACAGCCCATGTTCCTCCACTCCTCTGGACAGGCTGGCCCACCCCTGCTACCAGGATAAACTAGAGGGCTAGCGCCAGGATGGGGTGTGGAGGGCACACTGTGGATGGGGACAGAGCCCAGACAGGTTTTCAACAAGGACATTGGAGTCCAGAGACTAAAGACCAGAGACTGGCTGCACTGAGTGGATCCAGGCCCTGTGGCTGCAGAGGCTGCCCTAGGGAAGGTCTCCTTCAGCTCTGCCAGTGCCTGTAAGGTCTATGTAAGGCCAGCTCAGGCACAGGCAAAAGGGGCTGGCTGGAAGGGGCATGGAGACCATGCCCAACTGCCCCAATCACACAGGTCCTAGAAGCCCGGAGGGCCACTGCCTCACCAGCCCCCAGTGGAGCCCCGATGGGGCCCTCTGTCGAGCCAGTTCTTCCCCATCACCCAACGAGAGACCCAGACTTGTCCCAGATCCCGTCACAGCCTGGGTGCCTCAGAGAGGAAAGGGTGAGTCACCCAAGGGTTTTGGGGAGGAGCCAGCACCAGCTGCCACCCTTACCCCTCTGTCCTGGAAAGGCTAGCCCCTGCCTTTGAGAGTTCTGGGCCCCTTGCCCAGATGTGAGGGGCAGTTAGCCGCATCTCACATTGTCTACCACAGCTTCCTCTGGAAGGGTGGTATTCCCCCCGCCCCCACCTCCCCACCTGCACAGGGCCATACTGCGGGGAATCTTAATGGGTGACATAATGCTTGGCTTTCTCACTTTTCATGTAATCAAACTGCTTTGTAGCAAAACAAGTGGAAAACAGAAGATGGATGGATGACAAAGCCTGCTCAGCTGGAGCAGCCCCCAGGGTCAGCGACCTGCCTGGAGCAGGGGTGCACACACAGCTGGCTTGACCAATCAGTGGCAACAGTGAGCTCTTGGGATCACTTCCTAGTCTCTAAGCACATAATTGGGGCTGACCATGGCAGATGACCAGAACCCTCAGTAGGTCAGGCATGTCAGTCAGAAAGGCCAAGGGGCCACCGAAACCTTCACCCTACAGACAACAAATCAAAACTGCTATCATTGGGTGCTCTCTGGTATTATCAGTGGGGGGCTGTGGAAGTAGGCTTCTTGTGATGTCACAAGGAAAGGACTTTCCTGAGATTCACATGGGAGGATAAGTGGTATTTGTGTAGAAACAAACCCCTGAGTTTCCAAGTTCCCATTTTCCCCTGTCCCACCAAGGAAAAAGTCCTATTTTGTCTTCAGCAAAGCTAGGATTAAAGCCAGTGTCCAGTTTCCACTCCACATGTGCACAGTCCAGTCCAGCATCTGGATAGCTTAGATTGTGTCCCCAGCTGCAGCCCATGTGTGTAGGGTCCATGTGGCCTTGGGCCATATAGTTTCTAGGGCCATAGGGCTTTGGAGAGAACACAGGAGCAAAGGAAGCAGGACAAAGCCAGAGGAACGAGAGTGAATTCCTTTGTCTCAGGATGATACATTCCCAAATTTTCTCAGGCTTGCTGTGGCTCCATCCCTCTGCCAATTATCTTTGTTCTAAGGTTAGACTGACAGGCAAGTATTTTCCATACATCACCCACTTCACTGCCCATACCCGCCTTCCCCTTTGTTCAGTCTTTCTGCCAGTGAGCTGCAAGGACTGGACTGGTGGTCCCTGGTGGTGTGAAACTGCAGGTTCCTGTTGGCCATGCTTATGTCTGGCCTCCCCTTAGCTCCTTTCCTATTATTAATAACTAATTACAATGGTAACACTGGCACCACAGGGGTTGAACATGAGGACCTCCCTGAAGATGTGGGAGTGTTGGCTCCATTTGAGTTTGTGTGGCCTCTATGGACTGGGGATTCCACCGCAGGGCAGCCCTAATCCAAATCACTAGGCCTCAGGTATAGGGGTACGGCCATGAAGAACAGTTGGGAAAGCTCAGAAGCAGGTCACTTGTGCGGTCTGGACAAGAGGCAGCGGCAATTTTTCCCAGGACAGACACTAGTTGGTTGGACACCCTGGCTGATGTTGACATGATGCAGACCAAGTCGGAGGGGCAAGATGGGGTTTGCTGTCAATATGGAGAGGGGTCCCAGGCACATTCTCTGGCAAGTGTGGCAATGCTGTGCAGCGGAACACCAGGCCTCGGGTTCTCCGGTGCATGGGAATACCATTGGTTGGTGATGGCAAAGCCGCCATTTGGGGGGATGGTAGGAAGCATCCCTCCTGCACCTACCCTGTGCACTAGATCCTCTTCCTTGACCCTCCGAGCACCGTCTCACCATCCCACTCCTCCCTAAACCTCCCCACCTTGGAAGCTGCTTGAAATAAGACATCTGTAAACAGATCAGTAAACATGTTTATTTATAAAGTTACTTCCAGAAGTGCTGCGAACAGCTGTGCGCTGACACACTCGTCTGCAGCTATGAGGGCTCTCTGGAGCCCGGAGGGACTCGGCGGAGCTGTTGTCATGGCTCAGGGAGCAGGACACTTGTGTTGGGCCTTTCTTGCCCTCCCGGCAGCACCTGCCTGACCCCGGGGCTGCCTCTCTCCAGGATGAGGAACCTTCACCTAGTGCCACAGGCATATGCAGTTGCTCAGTGTAGCACTGGCAGGACTGGCAGCTACAGCACTGAGGCTGGAGGCACCGAGCAAGGACGCTGTGTAAGGACATCATGGGCCAACGCCTCTGAGGTCTCCAGTTAGGTCTTCATCACTGCCATGAAGGAGGCCTGTGAAAGGAGAGATAGTGAGGTGTGACCCTCTGGGAGAGGCTGGGGAATGAAGACCACAGGGTACCAGGAAGCCCCTCCCAAGCCCATGTACCTCTTGGAGGAGCTGCCCCAGCATTTCCTGGCTGTGAATGGAGCGTCTGTGGGAAAGAACACCTGGGTCAGCCCAAGGTCCCTTCCCAGCATGCAGGCACATCTACACTGATAGGCAAGGAGTCCCTAGGTACTGTGTCAGTCCCTGGTCTATGCAAGACAGCTAACAGCGGGGGCATGTGAGGTAGCGGGAGAACAGGGTGAAGGTAGGCACTGAGGTCCTGAGGACTATAGCCCTCCACCGCCCCACCTGTCTATTCTGGTTGCGATGGTCACTGTGAAGGCCCCCTCTGTGTCTGGCAGGTAGGTGGAGGGCACTATCCGGTAGGTCCCTGCAGACAGGTGGCAGACGCGGCTCACTTCCTGGGTGTAGCAATGTGGCACACAGCTCAGCACAGGCTTCTGAAGCAGCAGGGAGGGCGTGTCTTGGCCTGCGCTGTCCGCTGGAACCTGGGGAGGCACAGACTGACTAGTAAGCCTGTCCATGGGGCAGGAGAGATGCCCACTATCCTCAGTCTTAGTCTGGCTGCTCTCTTTCCCAGGCCCAAAGCAGCCCCAGCTGGAGATATGCTGAGGGTGTGCTGGGCTGGAGCAGCCCCGGCTGCAGTCTCCTGGGGCTTCATGCCTGGTCCTCCTCCATCTAAGGAGGAGCAGCAGCCCCCAAAGCTGGGCTCACCACTCACTGAGGCCCTGCCACCCTTGCCAGGAAGCCCCATCAGGTTTCAGGTGCCCATGCCTGGGAACCACCCAAATTGTCCCTGCTTAGGCCCTGAGGCACCTGCTGGCCACCGGCACTTTTTCCCAAGCAAATGGTGTCTCCACTCTTGGAAAGGGGGCTTCTCAGAATGGGGCTTTGCCCATTCTCTAGAGTACAGAACCTTCTCAATCAGAAAGTCCCACCCTCCCCCCAGATCACCTGTGCTCCAGGCTACATGGGCCTCTTCCCCCCTCAGATCCTGGAACACCGGCCACTTCACCCTGCCCGTCTAGAATTAGACCCCAGGAGCACAGCAGTGTGTGGGCTGAGGAGCCTCACTGGCCATGTGGTCTGGGCCTGCAACCTCTGACTTCTTCCCTTCCTCCAACTACAGGTCTGCTAAGGTGTATTGCCTACATGGAGGGAGAGAGAGCCGACTGCCAAGGAAGGTGCTCTGGGTGGCTATGATTCACTGGCAGCACCCCCTCTGGACTCTTAGCCATTCTAGGTACCAGTAAGGACAACATACTTTCAGCCTGAGGTCCTGGAAGCCCCCCCTTTCCTTGGTTCTACCTGGGGTTCAGGAGCCACCCCACACAGCTGAGCACACAGACTGAGAGCCCCAAGAACCTCGGGGACCTTGTGAGCTCCTCACCACCACCTGGCTTTGGGTTTTCTTTCTGATCTGAAACTCCTGGCAGCGCCATTTGGGCAGCAGAGTGGCTGCCAGTTCCCCAATGGTCTTAACCAGTGTGGCCTTCCCCAAAACCCCTTTACTGCGCTTTCCCACAAACCCTCGCCATGACCCACTTCTCCTTGGCTCTCAGAGGCACACACACACACGCAGAACAGCTTCATTCTGTGGGCCATGGGTAGAGGGCAGGGTTACACAGCTCTGGAGAGCTGCTGGTGTTTGACGGATCACTCCCGGGTGATGCCACTGGCCTCCTGGGTGGGAGACACTGTCCTGGGGAGAACTGACCCCATAACATAGTTGTTCTGAGCCAGAGCAAAGGGACAAGGGGATGTCTGAGCTACCTGTGACCACCAGTGAATTACAGACTTGATAAAACCTAGAAATGAGTCATGCACATGACCGGCCAGCCTGGGCAACATGTCCAAATGATTAAGTCCAGGGCTCCACATCACATCCCACCCCATCCTGTCTCACAGTCCCCCCGGTTCTCCAAGAGCTCTCAGAGCTTGCCTGGAAAACATGGAAGCCAATGGGGTGGCAGTCGCTGTCTAGGCAGTGCTGGTGTAGAGTGATCCGGATGCAGCGGGTGCCTGGACCCTCAGGGACCGTGAGGGGGAAGCAGGGGTTGCTGGAGTAGGAGGCGAAGTTCCGGCTGCCCCCAGCTGTCTGGCCGATCTTCCAGGAGCCCTGCAGCTGCACAGTCTCCCACTCCCCCGCCAACAGGGTCTCCCCAGGGCCAGGGCTCTGGACCACTGTCTTGATGGCACTGCCCGAGAAAGATAAGCACAGGACGGGGGCTAAAGGCACTGTCTGACCTGCCTCGGTCAAGGCAGGAGCACACAGGCCCCCCAAAACTGGCCAGGCCCCTCACCTGAGGGAGACTCTCCCGCTGGAGAAGACCCGGAGCAAAAACTGTCCTGGCACATTCTTTAAGAAGGTGCTGGGGACGGCCAGGTAGTAGCCAGGGGTGAGCTCACAGCGGAGATGGACCTCGCGGTCATACGCATGGCACACAGTGCCAGCCACAGGAGGTGTAGACAGGATCCTGGGCAGGCTGACCCGCCGCTTCTCTACCTGTGGAGAGGAGGCCTGTGTGGGAACTCACAGAGATCTGCCCACCCACTCCTGACACCAGAGCCTCTCCTCAAAGGAGTTAACACATAAAGCACTCCACCTCCCAGGGGCCAGCTGAAAATGCTCATGACCCTGGGCTTCCACTTATCCTGTCCCTCTACACACAGATGCGAAAGGGCTGTGCCCACAGCTACCGCAACCTGAGGCTGCTGGATAAAAGGCTTTCCAGCAACTCAGCAGGAAGAAAAGAACACAATGTAAGCCACACCCATAGAGGGACAGGGAACACTGTGCCTTGTGCTTTGAGACCTTGGCAGGACATACAAAGACTAAAAACTAGGCCATGGCAGCAAACAGGCAAGTTCCTGCACCAGCCATGCTCCTGTCCCCAGGACAGGCATCTCCATTGGGGGCCAGAGGGCTCATTGCACAATCCCACAGGATCAGCCGTCACCATCCCCACCTGATAGGGAGGAGACTGAGGGCACAGGGAGGGTGGAGTGACCTCTCCAAGTCCAAGAAGCGGCCAAGCTGGGCTCAGATCTCCACAAACACCAGCTCTCAGAGCCCCAGCAACTCCGGGCTTTGGTTCTGGTTTCCTTTGGCCCTCAGACACACCCAGGGCCAGGCCGGGAACCCAGTCCTCTCAGTGCCAGGTCTGTGGGAGCCCCAGCAGGCACATGATCCCCAGGAATGCCAGGGCAGGAGGGGGAGGCCTGTGAGGCTCTTGTCAGTCATGTGTGTCCCAGCACTGCAGCTCTCCCATCTCCTTGGACCCTGTACTTCAGTGAGTGGGAAACTGGCCCAGCAGAGTTACCTTCCAGAGATGCAGACCCACGGCAGGGTAGTCCTTGCCCTGAATGCTTGCCGGGCTCCATACAATGCGGCTGCCCCCCAGTTGCGCCTGGGCCCGGCCGGCCCAGTCCACCGAGCGCATCCTGGGCCTCTGCAGAACGGCAATGTACACCTCGCTTGGTTCTGAGACCCGCAGCCAGAACTTGGGGTTGCTGGGAAAGCCGCTGTTGTTCCGGCAGCCTCCTGCGGACTGCCCCTGGACCCAGGCTCCCGGCAGCTCCTGAGTGTGGCTGAGCACCTTCTCTAGGGCAAGAGCACACCACAGGTCAGGCTCCCCATGCTCAGACACCAGCCTCCCCCACTGGGAGCCAGCGTCTGCTCAGGCTTGACTTCGGAAAGCAGAATCAATTCAGGTGGCCGCATTGCACCCCCCAAAGGCTGCCCCAGGAACGGTACTGGGTACCTGAGTAGAGGCTCTGCAGGTGGCCAGCCTCTGTGATCGGGTAGCCAATGGTGACCTCGTCAAATTCACGGAGAAACTCCTCCTCGTCCACCCAGAACTCCCCTTCCTGGAGCTGGGACAGCAGCTCCGCCGAGTCCACTGGGTCCACCTGGGTCCACCCTTCACCCCTAGCAGGAAACACAGGTCATCAGAGATCTCTCATCTGAGAGGGACAGCACTGACCGTGCAGTGGGGGCAAGGGGAGCCAGAGGGGACAGAGGGTGTCCTGAGAGCTCTGACCCTGAAGCACCCTGGGGCCAAACTCTGTGGCCCCCTTCCCACACTTTCATTTGCCCTGGGCTTACCCTTCCTCAGGGCCATCACCTCTCCTCCTGCCACATGACCTGGATGAGCGAATGGGTCAGTGAGCAGTGACAGAAAGACACCTGCTCATCGCTTCAGGCATGGATGCTCAGACCAAGTGTGGGATCTGCTCACCACCCCAGCCACCTAAGGGAACTGTCACAGCACCTTCGTCCATCAGTTACAAGTCTTAAAGCCAAGCTGAGGACATAGCGCAAGCATCTCATAGGTTCCTGTCCCTCAGCCTGGCTGGGTGTCTACTGTTCCATGGGCACCCTCAGCACCAAGCACTCAGCCAGCCTCTGATGCCAAGCACAGACCATGTGGCCTTAAGGTTAAGGGGGCCTTGCTGGGAGCCAATTGAGCACTGTCCTGACCACAGAAACTACCATGGCACCAACCACAGCACGGGGGCCCAGACGCTCCTCCAGGCCTGCACCTCCCACCCCTTGATGGCTGTGCCAACTGCACTCACCCCTCTCTCCACGGCCCCTGCCAGCACCGCCGGCCCCAGGGGTTCTGAATGCGAAGCAGCAAGATGCTCTGACCAGCCTGACCCCGGAGCTCACGCAGGTCTGAGACGATGAAGGCGTGAAATTCCCCCAGCTCCTTGGCGCCTAGGCGAGGAACAGCTCAGTCAAGGGCAGGAATCCCCAAACCCAGCAGATGTACAGGTCTTGTCTCCTTTCCTGGGATTGGTTCAGCCCCCCAGTCATCCAGATCCCACAGATCACCTGGGGCTCCTTTCCTAACCATGTGGACGGTTAGCTAAGCAGTGGCCTTAGACAGCACAGAGCCCCAAGTGAGGGAACTGGACCAGGCCTGGCAGCTCATTCTCTTCTCTGGGCCTTACTATCTGGTCACATGGCCATGCAGGATGCCTGGTGCAGGGCCAGGTTTCAAAAGTGCTACTGTTAGCACTGTCACCAACAGTCTCTGACCACCAAGGGAAAAGGGAGAACACTTGGCAATGCCAACTGGGGAGGCAGGGGATAGATGGGCAGTGGGAGGACTGAGGTCTGAGGAGAAATGACTCCACCTGCCCTGAGCCAAGAGACAGAAGACATAGAAGCCAAACAGGACGACCCCTTCCTGGAGAGGAGGGGTGGTGGTCCAACGCAAAGAGAAGAAACTCCTGGGCTGTCTCTAAATGCTTTATTCGGAATGGCATTGTAGCTACCACCCATGCTACCATGGCATTGTAGCTACCAGCCCCTTGCCACTTCAGTGGGCTCCAGGTGACCTCCAGTAGCCCGTGTCTAGCCCACTCTCAGGGGAGGAGCCTGTCCCAGGCCTGTGCCAACCCTCACACATACACCAGGAGCATAATTGTCAACAAGAGCCAATTTATTTCAATGTTCATAGTCTTTGATAAAATATTCCATTGTGGACCAGCCCGTGTGGGTCAATGGTTGAGTGTCCACTTATGAACCAGATGGTCACAGTTTGATCCCCAGTCAGGGCACATGCCCAGGTTTTGGGATTGATCCCCAATAGGGGGCGTGCGGGAGGCAGCTGATTAATGATTCTCTGTCATCTCTGTCTCTCTCCCTCTTCCTCTCTGAAATCAATTTAAAAAATACATAAAAATTCCATTGTGGAAATAATACTAAATAGGAAATGTGTATGCATAGAGATGCTGTTATTTATAACAGCATAAAATCAGAAAGACCTTAAACTTCCAACATGAAGGGAAAGATGAAAGAAGCTACAGCAGATGAGATAAGTTGACGAAATTTATGTAACATAGAAAATCTAGGATGCAGAATGCAAAAAGTACATTTATGAAAAACTGGGGAAGTATACTAAAAAGTCAAAGGTAGCTACATTTGAGGGAGTTTTTCCTTTCAACTTTTCTTTAATGAACATACATATCACTACAGTGGAAACCTGAGTGCTAATTTCACAGGTTGTCAGCTGAGCCAGAGATGGTGCTGCCATGTGCTTCCTAGGCCATTTCTGCACAGCGGTGACCTCACACAGGCTCCTGCCTACCAGTAGGTAAGTCCTGGTCAAGGGAAAAGGGACCCTCCCTCTGGAGAGGGACAGGCAGCAGGACAAGGTCACACAGCTGGACAGAGCTTGGTAGCACCAATGTTTCCACTTTCTACTCATTCCAGACAGGGCCTCAGGGATTGCCTACAGGATCTGAGGGGATGTGTGTAGGCCCTCTGCATGACCATCACCTCACCTGCTCTGGGGCTGAACACTGAGCAGCTGATCAGACACCGCTCCTTGAGGCTGAGCAGCTGCCAACAAGTCTTGAGCTCTGAGCTACCAGATCCATCCTGTTGGCTACTGCTGCTTGCCAAGTTCTTCAGGTTCCACCTTTCTGCCAGGCCACCAGTTAGGTCCACCAGGGCATCTGCCACCTGCCCTGCCCATAGGTGTTCATAGGACCCATGGACCCTGGGAGACAGACACAGGAATGAGCCTCAGGCAAGGGGAGTAGCACCCTGCCTCTCTTCTATCACCTTTGTCTACGGCACTCCAAAAATCCTGTGATCCCATCCACCCAGCTTCTATCGCTTTTCTCTCCTGCTGCCTCGCCCTCACCACAGCCAGGCACAATTACGCCTTCACGGCTGACATGCAGTGTCCCAGCAAAGCCCAGCCGCCTCTGCCACGTGCAGAGCCTCTTCTACTGCCAGTGTGGGCACAAGCGTGAGTGAGGCAGTGTGGGCAGAGCCTGTGACATCCATTCCATCTGATAAGATCCAACCCCAATGTCTGTAGCAGTCCTCCCTCTTTTTTAATCAACTTTATTGATTTTTCACAGAGAGGAAGAGAGAGGGATAGAGAGTTAGAAACATCAATGAGAGAGAATCATCCATCAGCTGCCTCTTGCACACCCCCTACTGGGGATGTGCCCACAACCAATGTACATGCCCTTGACCAGAATCGAACCTGGGACCTTTCAGTCCGCAGGCTGACGCTCTATCCACTGAGCCAAACCGGTTTCGGCAGGCCTCCCTCTTGACCTGGGTGCCAAGGCCTACCTATCAGTTCCCTGTCAGCAAGATGGTAAATGCATTTTAGGAAGAAAGGGCCTCAATTCACTCTGCATGAGGGTTTTGGGCTGTCAGGATCAGATAAAAAGGCTTATACGTAGCTGGCCTCTTTCCTCTCCAACAACCTGCAGAGAGACAGCCTGTCCCCAGGGGTGAAAAACAAATAGATGGAAACATCTTTCTTGCTGGGGTTTGAGGAAAGAGAAAGGAAGAAAATACACACCGTCCCTCATGCCCGCTGTGAAATAAGGGCAAGGAAAGGGAGGCAAACCACAGGCCAACCCTCAAGAGTTCCTGTCTCTGGACCCAGTCAGCCCCACCCCAGGACCTGCCACCAAGTGGCTGGAAATGACAGGATTCTGCAGTGAGAGAGAGCAGAGACCTGCTCCTGGGGGCAGTCTAAGGTGGCATGGCCCAGCCTGCCAGCCTCCAGCACACGTACTTGGCATAGACCTTCTCCAGTAATGGAAGCCAGAATACATCCTCTCTCTGGCATCGGGAGAAGCAGAGTCTCCCTGCAAGACAAGGCAGACGATCATCTATGGTCACCTCCACCCAGCGTCCAAACTGCCAAACTCGACAGGTGAAGGAGCCACGGTACGTCTGGTCGAGCCAGCTCGGCTGTCCGGGAAGAAAGACCTACCATGCACAGGGAAAGGCAAAAGGAGACCATGAGACAAATATCTCGCAGCGCCCTCCAAGCGTGCTAACCAGAGTGTGACCATACTGTACCTTCCCACAGTACCCTGCAGTCTACAAAGGATCTGCCTCATGCCATGCCTTGAGTCAGTGCTCATGGAAAACCAACCATTGGACTGAAAATCCAGACTTCTCAATAAAATATTTTAAGATGATAGTGAGGGAGCCAGTGTCTCCAAAAAGCTTAAAGTCAACCATTATGCCCTAATGTCCCAAATAAGCCCTTGACCTGAATCTAAAACAAATGTGACTTTTAGAAGCATGAGACCCAATTCTCAGCAGAGCTGACTGCAGATGGCAGGCTGCCATGGGCACAGCAACCCTCCTGCAGACGCCTGAAGCCCACGACCTCTGCCAGTATCTGGACCCATGTTCACTGCCAGGTTTGTTCTGACCCGAGAGGCAGTGGGGACTGTGTACCTAGATGACGTGTTTGGTCCTGGTTCTGCCACTCACTAGCCAGAAATCAGTGACAATGGTTCTAGTGCCCTCACTGGTGAAAATGGGTCACATCTGGTGAGGCCTGTGAGAGTGAAAGCCAGCGATGTGCTGTGCTTACTTAGCATGGGGCTGGGACCCAGGATGAGCTCTGAACGGGGTCACCGCTGTCAATGAACATTGCTGCATTCATTGGTGATATTTAGCAAGAAGCCAAATAGAAGGCCATCAATGGTCCAGGGAGGGAGTCTGAGCAGGCCTTCTACACCTGTCAAAAAGAGTTTCAATCATCTTTTGCCAATTTATATTTAAAACCTATTTAAGAAGTTAACTAGCTCAGGACACTAATTCCAAACCAGGGCACAGGCTTCCTCAGCCAACCCTTTCCTGTCTAGGCTGGCTCGTTTGACTTTTTAGTTTAGATGCATGGTTCTGACTCCATAAGAAGCGTGCTCGGGGTTTGGCAGAGCAGGGCAGAAAGTACCGCTGTGGGAGAGGGGACACTGCGTCGTGCCTGGGAGTCCTTGTGGCCTGACAGCTGAGTTCCCCACTGCCCATGCTGAGCAGCTGCATCAGAGTCCCACAGAACAAAGGGTTCAGCCGCCTGGCCTCTTGCTTCCTTCCCGGGTACAGCAGACAGGAAGACAGAGCAGAAGAGAAAGCCACACTATCACAGACACCTGGTCCAGGAGGTGCCGGCTCTTCTGCAGGGCGGCGCAGGCACACAGGAACCAGCAGTCCCCCAGAAGCCCTTGCTTCACCTGTCCTTCCTGTGGGTTATCTGGAAACAGCCGGGGCGTAGCACAAATTTCCTAAAAATAAATAAAATTGTCCACAGTTACATCATGCCTCATGCCAGTCTTTAAAATAGAGAACACAGGATCTAGGCGACAGGCTGGGAGGAGCTTTTCTGCTTATCCATGGTGCCTAACAGGGGAAGGGAAGCAGCTGGCTTCTTGTAGACACTATTGGTCAGCCCCTCCTGGCTTCAGGTCACTCTGTCCAGCTTAGATTATGGGGTCCCTGTTCATCCACATTCCTTAACTGGCAAAACTCCCAACTCTGGATGAATGCTACCACTTCTCTTGTCAAAACAGCTAAATGTTCATCAGAAACTGGCTTCATTTTATTATTTTTAAATTTGTCTTATTGATTTTTGCAAAGAGAGAGGAAAGGGGAGAGAAATTGATTTGTTATTCCACTTATTTATATACTCATTGGTTGATTCTTATATGTACCCTGACTGAGAATCAAACCCTCACCCCTGATGTTTTGAGACAATGCTCTAACCAGCTGAGCTACCTGAGCAAATGGTTTCACTTTAAATTCATAAAGGGGAATCTTGAGTGTGTCCTCTATACTGCTGGAAATCCCACTGTTTTTCTAAAAGGCTCACTTTCCCACAGCTTGGGTGAGCTTATGCCTCCTATTCTTTCTCTTCTCAAAATGTCCTCACCTCATGCTTCACTAGAAGCCACCTGACCTGCCTCCTCTCCTGCATCAGGCCTGAGACCCCTTCCCTCTTCCACCTACTCAGGTAAAATCCCTCCAGCATAAGGCACGAGCAGAATCTCCGTCTTCTCTACGACATTGCCCCTCAGCACTATTTCCCTTCTAGGTTTCTCTTCACTGACAAATTTCTGAAAAGAGCTGCTGTCTCTACTTGTCCCCTTCCCTCGCCCCTGCAGGCCCCTCTGGCTTCATACCCCCAAACCTTCTTTACCAGTGTCACCTCCTGCAACACTGTCAAATGCAACTGGCATCAGTGTCCTGTTGGATTCCACAGCATCAGAACAGAGTGTGTTCTTTATGTGAGCGTGAGAGAGAAGGGAGGATGGTGGTGGAGTGCTGTCTCTTAAGCCCAGCAGTCCTCTGGTGAATTCCATGATTCACGGGCACAGCAGACAGGAAGACAGAAGAGAAAGCTGCACTATCACAGACCTTTCACCTCATGGCCTGCTGCTTCTCAAGTACACCTATCCCGGAACTTGCTGACCCCACTGGGAAATGTTAAGAGTTCCTCCAGGTTCAGTTCCGAGTCCTAGTCCTCCTCTATCTGACACTCTCTTCCAGGGCCTGGCCCGTAAGTCCAATTCCCAGATCAAGCCTCTACCCAGATGGTCCTGAACCCCCAACTCTCACATCCACCTGCCCACTGACAGCACCAATTACATGTGAGAGCAAAACCAATCCTAGATTTCCACACCCCCCCTCCCCCCACCTCCAACTTTCCCCTCGTATATCAAATGGGACCATCATCCACTCAGGTGTTTAGGCTCGAAATCTAGAAGTCATTATCTTCACCCTCTACTTCTAACCGGCCACTAAGACCCACCAAAGTCCTAACGGCTGTCACACTAATCTAAGCCCCTTCATCCTTCTCAGGACCACTGCAATGGCATTCTTGCCCTGACCATCCACTTTCCACAGGCACTAAGAGTGAGCTTCTTCAAACACACACCCAGCTAAATCACTCCCCTACAAAAAAACCCTCTAATGGCCTCCCTTCGCAACTAAGATCCATTTTTACCCAAATTCCACTCGTGTGGCTCCTCCCAGGCCAAACAGGCCCTGGCGGTGCAGCACCAGAAAGGCGCCTCAATCATCAGAGCCCAGAAGTTCTGGCAGTCACGTACACCTGGGGGAGGCAGGCTTATTGTCCCAGGGCAGTCTTACTCAGCAGCCAATTTCTACAGATGTCAACATAACACTAGAACAGAGCACCCCTTTAAGTTACCACCTTAAAATGTTTACATCTGAAAATGCAGGTGTAAGCCCAAAAGAGAAATCTGCAGATCAGATTTCATAGGTTCATCCCGGCCCTTCCATGAGAGCACGAGAGTATCAGCAGACACACAAACAGAAGAGCCAAGAACTCTGGTGAGACGCCCTTCAGAGCAGAAGCAGGGAGGTGGGGCTGGGTTTAGGTCTGTGGACACGCCCCTCTCGCTGTGCCCCAATCCTCTTCGGAACCGAACTGCGCTCTCACAGGTGGAGACCCTGAGCTCGGGGCTTAGCACTCCTTGAATCAGCTTCAGAGGGAGCTACCATGGGAGATAGGGAGCCTGGGGACAGCAGGCAGACCCTGCGGGCCACCGCGCGCCCACACCGGGCTGACCCTGGCCACCAAGAGGCCGCTCCGCCGGCCTCCGCGCTCGCACCCCAGCAGGAAAAACCGTGCAGAGACCTTGACCAAAACCCCGCCAGCCGCTCACCTGGGGCCTCCTCCACGTGATGTCCTCCCGGAACTGGGCTAGCGGCGTGGAGTAACTGGAGAAGAGCGAGGAATTCGAGGCAGGGAAGGCGGGGTCCCGGAAGAGCTCCCTGGCGGGCGGGCGCATCTTGGGCGCCCCGGGCTCCCATAGGCAGCCCACCCGCCCCCCAGCGCCGAGCGGGGCCCAGGGGGAGCGCAGGCCCGCGAAGGGCCGAGTCGGCTGCCGGTCTCGGGCTGGCCGATGACCCAATGCTCCGCCAGGCTCTCCACCGGGTCAGAGCCGCTGCACGGACTCAACAGCCGCTCGGAGGCCCTGGCCCCCGAGGGCGTGGCTTCGGAGCTCGCCTCTCGCGACGCGTGACGTCGGCCCAGCGCCACTTCTCCTTCCGGGTCGAAGGTTCCCGGAACTGTTCCTGCCGAGGTCCACCTTCTGCAAGGCTGGCGGGAGTCTTGTCCTTGGGCTTGTGCGAGTCGGGCCAGGGCGTCGGAACCTCTTGGACTCGCGGGCTATGAGGGCTGAAGGGAGCGGAGAAGCCGCCTCGGACGAGGTGGCGCTGAGGGCCACCGATCCCAGCATGCAGCGCTGCCTCCCAGAACACGCCTCTCCTTCCGGCGCGCGGCGGCAGACCCGCCTTTGTGGGCGGGTCCAATGGAAGACCCGCTCGGGCAGGCGGGCAGTGAGCGGACGGACGTGTCTGCCGGTTGTTGTAGCTGTGTCTTGGGTTCGTGGGAATAAGACGGCCCAGGAGAGGGTCTCCCTAGGCCTGGGAGGCTGTCTCAAGGCGGCTTTGGATCAGAAGCTGGGTCCTGAGCGGCGCAGCACAGGCGCTGGAGCTCCTGGTCCCCAGGTAGCCGGCTTCTGATCCTGGTGGGCTGGCCAGTGATCTGGGCGTGCGGTTACAACTCACGGCCGCTCCGTGCTGCAGAGAGATGAAGATAGTGATTTCGGGACCTGACTCACTTTTGCTGCAGGAACCAGCGTGTCGCCATTCCCGTTCCCTGGAAGGAAGAAGGCCTGCCAGAGGCTTATTCTCCACCTGCCCCTCCGAACTACTTCACTCTGCCTTCACAGGGGTCGGGCAGGGGTTAGGAGGGCCTTCCAGTGAGGTCCCTACTGGTGGATGAAAAACAACCTGATCTAGAAGCCCCTGCCCCTGAGCTTTGCTTGCTTGGAGCCCCAGGTTCTGTGACAGCTGTAGCTCCTCCCTCTGAGAGACTGGGCAGGGCCTGGTCCAGTAGCAGCTGCTAGTGATAGCATGGGATTGTGTTACCTTGACCCCAGTAGGCCTCAGCCCCTTGGTTTGCGGGCCTAGGGTACTCATCTCTGCTGGGATTCTACAAAAAGGTGTCCACATTGCCCAACACCCCTCTGTATGCTAGGGCTTACTTCATAACCATTCAGGACCCCCATGATGCTTGCTCTCACAGAAGATGATTCTCACCCCATGGCAGGATGGAGGCTGTCCTGTAGCAGAGAGAAACCAGGAAAGGCCTGGGCTCTATTTCATCTGGGGGCCATGGTCTTATGAAAACAGCCTTGTCTTCTCTCCCCCCACCCAAATCCACTTGTGACTCCCTCTTCTTTCCCCCTGGTTGTCACCTTTCTGGAGACTCTGTGCTCCATGGCTTTGCTTACACCCCTTATTCTGCCTGGATGACTACCCCTGTCATTTTTCAAGGGATGTTCCCTGACTTCCTTGCCAGAAGGTGTCTCTCCTCTGAACCCCACAACTCTTCTCCATTTGTTCAATGGGCAAAACCAGGCATTATTATCTGGACACTGCATTCTCATGGGGATACAGAGACTAGAAACGTATCATGCCTGCAAGCTCCCCCAAGTTAGGAGCTGGTGGGAAGGAGAGTGCTGATTAGCTGGTGAAGAGCAAGGGATGGTGTACTGTGTCGAGGGCATAGCCCTGGCTTGTCCAACTGCCACATTCCACTGGGATCCACTGCACAGCCACTCCTGCCTCACCAGCAAAAGCTCTGGTGTTGGTTTATGTAGATGTTGGCACTTGAGGCATTAGGAACTGTCCCCAGCTCCAGAGTCAGGAGTTTCAGATAGGGGCATGTAGGTAGCTCTGGGCCATGGGGCACAGGAAGCAGTCTACAGAAGGCAGGAGGGGGAATTTCTACAATCTGCCTGTGGGGATGATCACCAGCTGGTGGCCACAAGAGGGCAAACCAGAGAACAAAGGCCAATATGCTGAGAATCCAGAGCAGACTGAAAGAGCTTTGGTCTCTGATGATGTCTCTGAGCTCTAGAACTGGTCAGTCTTAAAATTGTCCTTAAAATTATTTACTGTGTATCAAATTACCCCAAAATTTAGTGGATTAGGACTGTGGGGGTGACTCGAGTGGTCTGACTCGGGGTCTTGGGGAATTGAAGTGGAAATGTTGGCCAGGACTGAAGTGAGCTGAAGGATTCCACTTGCAGGCTCACTCAGAGGCCGCCTCAGTTCTTGTCACATGGACCTCCAGGAAGCTACTCTGGTTTCCTCATATCAAGACAGCTGGTCTCTCCCAGAGCAGGTGATCCAAGGGACAGGAAAGGCAGAAGCCACATTGTTATGACCTACTTATGATGTCACACTCATTTCTACAACATTCCATTCATTAGAAGTGGGTCACCAGTACAGCCCACACCCAAGGGGAGGATGTCAAGGTCCACGTTTTCAGAGAGGAGCATCAAAAAATTTGTAGATGTATTTTTAGACCACTGTGTCCCCAAGGGGTAAGATGAGAGTGGCATGTGCAGGGGATGGATGGCTGGTAGTTTGAAAGCCTTGGAGGTGCTGAGGGTGTGGCAGTCCAGAGCTCTGACATGGTCCAGAGGTGGAACCTTCAGGGCTTTGAGTGATGGAGGCAGATAGTACTGGCTTTAGGAAGTTCATGAGACTTAGTAAAAGGACAGTTTTTGTTTAGGAAAAGGCCTTGATGCAGACTTGGGTGAGAGACATTCTTGGTTACACTGACAGGTTTGAATTGCAGGGCACTTTAAGGCCCAGAAAAGAGTGCAGGCCCCATGCCCCAATTCCCAGCAGCCACCGAACAGGTCCACTGTCCTGGGCCTGTAGGCAGGGGGGCACTGCCCTCTGAGCAAGGCCTTCTCTCTGGGATTCTCATGAAGGGCCAAGACAGGTGGGAGGCAGGCTCTGGCTTCAACACGGAGCTCCCCACCTCAGCAAGGCCATAGACCTGCAGGACAGACTGCTAGCCCACATTCTGGAGCTCACTCTGCCTTCTGAACCCTGAGAGATGATGGGTGATTGATCAAATTTCCTGATTGATCAAATGTCTATCCCAGCGGGTCCAGGAGCTGACTAGAGCAGCTGCTGGGGAGCCTGAAGTGCTCTGAAATCATCTGAGCAAGAATCACTAGAAACCTGGTCGTGCTGGTCAGGTGTCCAGATCACTGTCTGAGCCTCAGTCTCCTCATTTACAAACTTGGTGGGACAGAAGGTCCACAGTAGGGGCTTATACCAACACAAGTCCCCACCCTGCATGTTCCAACCTCATGCAAATGAGGACTCCTAATTTTTGTGAGTCAATTAGCCCAAAAGGCACTACTATCCTGATTGATGAAAATGGAGCTGCTCCGATAGGTCAGTATAGAAGCTGAAGGGGATATTGCTGTGCAGTACTGATTGGATTGGAAAAGCCTCAGTCCTATTGGTTGAAATAGGATTCCAGGAACTATAAGGGCTGGCTCAGATGGCAGACTTGGTGCAAACAGTTCAGTGCAAACACAGGTAGTTGAGTGCAGGCTGCTCCTTAAAGTGTAGCTATCATGTGAGGCCTCAGTTTAGAAATGGCTGTTAGGCTCGGGTTTTTGTTGTTTTAAATTTGAGCCCAGTCAGTGGCCAGAAGCCCTTCTTAGTAGGCATCTTCTTTCTCAGGGTCCACAGAAAGAAAGAAAAAGGCATAGCCTTAAGAGCTAACATCAGCTCTTAACCGGTTTGGCTCAGTGGATAGAGCATTGGTCTGTGGACTGAAGGGTCCCAGGTTCGATTCCAGTCAAGGGCATGTACCTCGGTTGCAGGCACATCCCCAGTAGGGGGATGCAGAAGGCAGCTGATCGATGTTTCTTCTCTCTCATAGATATTTCTAACTCTATTCCTCTCCCTTCCTCTCTGTAAAAAAATCAATAAAGTATATTTAAATATATATATGAAAGCACCCCCTTGACCAAGGCACTACTCTAACGAGACCCAGGATGTGTGCTGCCGACTTGGGAGTTGGCTGGGGCCCATCACTAAAAGCAGGAATGTTGCAGCCAAGGAACATGTGGGAAAATAGCTGTGATGGCTCATGAGACCGATGACGTCCTAAATAACTGGGTCTAGTGAAGAGGCTGGGAAACGTTAGCACATGTTGATCACAGGCTGCATTGGGAAGATCCTACCAAGAAAAGATGGTCAGGAAAGTATTCTAGGTTTTCAAGCTGGGAGGAAATGAATTGAGAAAAGCTAGGGATGTAGGGATACCTGGGCTAAGAGCACCCTGCTGGACACAGAGGGCAGATCAAGTCCAGGACACCAAGGATATGGGTGTGGTCACTTCTGTTACGACAGCTGAGAGCTGCTGAGCTTTCCAAAGTCCTTACAGGCTGGCAGGGTGGAGCCCCTCTCAGCAGTGACTAACCAGGAGGGCTGAGGACCCACGGAACTGGAACCAAGCACGTGTCGAGGCCACTGCTTTGTGAGAGCTGAACTCCAAAGAAACTCAGAGCCAAGACTGAAAGCTTGGGACTCGAGACTTGTACAGTCTTGGCAGGGAAGAGGCTGAGAAGCAGCACAACCCCCAAGGAGGGCTTCTTGGCCAGTGCCATGTTCAGGAGGCCAAGATGACAGGATGAGGATGGACCCCTGAGGATGGAGTCAAGGCCTCAGAGCTGCCCATTCCCAGGACAGGGTCCCTTGCAGCCCCTGCCTGACAGGGCAGGGCTGCTAGACACCTTCTGTGTCCTCCTTCCTCAGGATGGTGTTGCAGTGGCCTGGTCCCCGCTCCCTGTAGGGAGGGTGAATGTCCTTGGGTTGAGTGAAGCTCCACCTGGCCCTGGTGCAAGGCTAGCGCATGGACCCCAATCCTGGTGACTACCCAAGACCCGGGGTATGGGCTTGTGCCATGACTGGGTTGGTGGGGGGGACACCTCTTGGGGAGGAGAGGTCTGAAGTGCAGGGAAAAGTCAATGGGATATCTGGTGACCTGGGGGCTGGATGTGATGACACCAGGGTTGCTGGCATGCCATTCTGGTCCCACCATGTCCTGGCTCCTTGTGAAAGGGAAGCTCTGGGCCTGGGTCTGGCCAGCGGGCTGGGTAACATGTCACTTTGGACCAGAGCATGTAATCCTGGCATGAGACCCGTAACCAGACAGCATAGCTGCTGTTGGCCTGAGTCCAGCTGCCATTCTGTAAATTCAGTGGCTGCATCACGGCCACAGCCCACAGCTCAGCCGTTCTTTTCCTAATGGCTTGAGTGGGAGTCCCCAGCCTTAGTCCCTCTTCTGAGCCCCCTCTGTACCACAGCCTCTTCAGGATCTACTCTAATGGCTGCCACAACCCTGCCCCACCGTGTCTCACTCTTCTGAGATGAAACACCCACCACTCCTCTCTTCCTTTTACTCCTTTGGGGTGGGGAACCACTGCTGAGAAAGGCCCAAAAGGTGGTGACAAGTGTCTGAGGGTCCAATGGGGGGCCCCAGAGGCCTGGCCTAGGATCTGGGAAGGCTGGTCCTTAGAGCCCAGAGGCTGCAGGGCAGAGTCAGATGACCGGGAGTGGTTCGAGTACAGAGAAAGACCCTCAGCCCCATCCAGCATCATCCTGCCTCTGGCTAGGGGCCTATGTGTTTGAGGGCTTCAACCAGCTCCTGACCTCACCCCAGAGCACTCAGGCACAATCAAAGGATAAAGGTTGGGATGAACAAGCTGGGAGGTCATTTTCAGAGCGGAGGTTTAATGGGATATCACGGTGACCCTGTCACAGCAGTCTTCTGGGTGGCCCAGCTCTGAGCTTGGGGTCCCCAGGCCTCTCCCAGCATGGTGGGCCTAAAAAAGAGCACCAGTACCACCTGCTACTTTCCCTTCGGGTACAGCTGCACCAGCCCAGTAGCCCCAAGATAGACATCCTGTCCCACATCTCCTGGGGCCCGGGACCCCATGTTCCCTGAGGGGCTAAGGCTTCCTAGGGGCCCTTCCCCAGGGATGTCCATTTTCTCCTCGGTGTCCCCTGCCGTCACACTGAGGGCGTGTCTGCATCCTCGACCCTCTGCCAGGGGCCAACTGAGGCTGCTCACCCCAGGTTCGGGGTGCAGAGCTCTGCGGGAGGCATGCTGTGGGGACAGCGCAGCTCAGGCCTCCCAGCAGACATAAGGCACAGTGCGGTGGTCGCTATGAGACGGTGGGGCTGTCACCCCGGGGGCAGAGCCCGGCGGTCAGTGTTCAGACAGAAGGACGTGGCGTGTGCTGGCTGCTCTGGGGCCTGCAGTGCAAGAGAGCTGGGGGGCCATGTCCATGGACCTCGGCTGACCATGAGGCAGTCCCTGGCAGAAGCCACAGGAGGGGCATGTGTGGGCCCAGGCAGAGCTCGTGGCCAGAGCCGATGTGCAGTCATGGCAGGCCTGGGCCACAGAAGGCACAATTGTGGTGTCTGGGAGGTCTGGGCTAGGCAGACACGTTGACGTCCCTGAGAGCGATGGCGCTGCTGGGGGCCTCGTCCCCGAGCAGCAGGGCAGGCGTGTCCACGTCCCCCTCGGCTTCAGCTCCAGTACCGCCCTGCTCTGCACCGGGCTCTGCGCTGGGGCCCAGGCCCTGGGTCAGGATCTGCTGGATGGTCCTGCGCAGGTTGGGGTGCAGCCGGCCCTGTGTCTGGTAGAAGACTTCCAGCGCGAAGGACTTGAGGGCACCAGTGCAGAGGTCCTCATACAGCGGGATGGTGTACATGCGGGACATCTGGGCAGGGGACATGGGTCACACTGGCTGCTCGCCTGCCCCTCTGCCAGCCCACCTGCCCTGGGCCCAGACTCTCAGCGCCAAAGGCAGGCCCCTGATAGCCTCTCACCCCACTACAGACCTTCTGCAGAGGGAGCTTGGGCTGGGGCCACTGATGGGGCAGGGCAGAGAGGCCCCTGTAGGCCTGGAACCATCAGGCCTCTGAGAAGCTCAGATGCCCCTGGTGCCTAGGCTAGGAGCCCAAATGCCCATAGGCCAGGACCACGTGGGCCTAGACCTCCAGAATGCTCCCAGCTTGTCCCCTCCAGACACGGCCTCCCAAGGACTCTTCTCATGTGGTACCCACCCCACTGCCATCTCAGATGCCAAGTATTGCACACCCCGTTCTCTGGGATGCCCAGCCTGAACAGCCAGACCGGAGGGTCAGGTGGGGTGGTGGGGGTAGGAGAGGCAGGGCCCCATGCAGGTGACCACACCTGGCTCTCGAGGAAGCGCCGGACCCGGTGGAGGTCAGGGTAGTAGTCATTTCGGACTACGATCTGCAGCCAGCGGATGCGGATCTCGGCGTTCATGGAGTCCAGCAGGGAGGAGTAGCACTTGGACAGACTCATCACCACCTCTGCGGGGCCAAGGGCAGGTCAAGGTTGGCAGGCACACCCCTCCCCAGCCACCCCAGCAGCTCCAGGACCCACCCTGGGGCAGCGGGGACCCATCCAGCAGCCTGTCCAGGAAGAGTGCCGTCTGGAAGGTCCTCCACTTGGAGATGTCGATGGCGCTGGCTGAGGCAGCTGCCTGCTCCAGGGGCTCCGCGGTCCACAGCCGGAAGAGGGCCTCCACGGGCCGGGTTAGGCTGGATCCCTGAGACAGGTCTGGCTCGGCCAGCGGCGGCCCCGTGGCATTGAGCCAGCGCTCAAACTCCAGCCCTGCAGGGAGGTGTGATCCTGGGGTCCCCACTGGGCTAGGAGGAGCCATCCAAGGCCTGCCCAGGAGTCCCCAGACCATGGGGGTATCCCTAAGCATGATTATTCCAGGGCCCAGAAGCCCCCAAGGCAGGGACAGTGTGGGGAGGCTGGGGTCAGCGCTAGCACCTGCCACTTCAAACCACCAGATTAGCTTCTGTCAAGGGGGCACAGGGAGGCCAGAAGGCTCCAGTTGATGAGTAAGGGACTCCAGTCCCCCCTGCTTCTCCTGGGTACAAGACAATGGGGCACTTAAAACCCAACCTTAGCACTGAGGGTAATGGTCTGTGTACCATTCTGATAAAGCAACATTCCTGCTTTAAAGCCCTGGTACTGGCAGCTGTGTGGGGGGGGGGGGGGGGGGTTCTACCCACCTCTCTGCCCTCCAGCAAATCTTGGCCTCTCCTATACCTCAGACCCCTCCTTTAATCTCTAAGCTCTCATACCCCCAGGGATACTCTCATGGGTGTCAAGCAGGCCAGTGGGCTTCAGTGAGCTCTGAGGCAAACCTCCCTCCACCCTGCCAACCCTGCCCCAGGCCCTTTGCACACACTGTTTTCGAGGCCCCCTTCTGAGACTCCTAAATAGGTCGGTTTGGCCCAAGTGCCACCTCTTCCTGGAAGCCCTCTGGGCTCCACCAGGCTGGGAAGCACACCCTCCTCTCTGTTTCCATGGCCTCCCAGCCTGATGCTCACACTGTCCAGGGAGGAATCTGAAGGAAGGATGGATGAACCTGTGGGACTTTCTCCAGGCAGAAGTGGCATCCTGTGCAGGTGAGATCCCCAATCCGCCCCCACCCCCCCCCCCCCCCACACACACACACCAGCATTCCCCTAGTGGGCTGGCCTCACCTGCCCGGCAGTCTACACTCTGCTCCTTCAGCTCTGGGAAGAAGCTCAGAAAGGAGTCCAGAAGATCCTGGGCCACCACACTGGTAAACTTGTACTTCTCCACGTAGGCCTGTGAGGGTGGGACAGAGCTCAGCAGGCCTGGGGACTGGGCAGGGACAGGGGCAGGAGGGACAGGACCTGTCCCGGATGGGATTACTCACTCGAAGGAAGTCGTCAAAGCGCTGGGGGTCCCCACAAAGCTGGGACAGGTAGTAGACGAAGCAGTAGCCCTTCTCGTAGGTGAACAGGTTCATGAGGTGGCTGGGGTTCACCCCTGAAACAACACTGGTGCTAGGTCATGCCCCCCTTCTATGTTCCGGGGAACAGGCAGGGGCGGTCAGGTGAGTGGAGCAAGAAGGGCCAAGGGCCACTGTTCCACGAGTCCAGATGCCTCCTTGGTAGGGGGAGGGCCCACCTTAGTTGGGGGGTCACCCCCACTCCCACACCCACCCACCACAGTGACAAGTGCTCAGAGCCCATGAGAGGCGGCGATAGGCTGAGGGAGCCTCAGGAGGCGTTCTTGGGGCTGGGTCACCTGGGTTGGCATTTGCAGGGACTCAGCCATGGTGGGAACAGAGCGAGCATAGGGTGGGAGAGAAGCTGTGGGGTGACATTGCAGAGCCTGGAGTAGGGCCTGGAGGCAGCGGGTACCTGGCTCCAGCTTGACTTGCAGCTTGCTGACCGGGCTGTCCTCTCCAAGGAGTTTCATCTGCCTGTGCAGGGCATCCAGGCGGAAGGCTGTCTCCAGGCAGGTGAAAGCAGCACCTGGATGGTCACAGAGGCAGGGGAGGCGGGAGGAGAGGGGGCAGGCCTGAGCACAGAGCAGGTGCGAGGCTGTCCCTGCCCTGAGCCTTGTGGAGTTAGCTGACCCAAGGCCACCTCCCCGGACACAGCAAGCAGGGGCCTGCACCCTGGCGGCTGGGCTGGCTGTCAGCCCCTCTGCAGTGCCTGGGACAGCCCTGGTGGTGCCAGCCAGTGCGAGTCCAGAGCAGAGCCCTCACCTCCCGTCCCCTGCCCTGGGCTGGCCGCAGGCAGTACCATAGGTCTCGGTGGTGATGCGGCGCTGGGCATAGGTGGCCAGGCCTTCGCTCAGCCACATCTCTTCCCAGGTGGCATTGGTAACGGCATTGCCAAACCAACTGTGGGCCACCTCGTGGATGACATCGATGACCAGGAACTCGTCACACTCCAGGATGGAGGAGATGACAAAGGTGAGGCAGGGGTTCTCCATGGCCACGATGGGGAAGGAGGGGGGAAGGAAGACGATGTCGTACCTGTTCCGGGAGGGAGGGGAAGCCAGTGACCGAGAGAGGGTTGGGGACCTGGGTGGTGAGTGTCACTTCCTTCCCAGAAAGCCAGACAAGGGGGCCCCCAGTTGCTTCTAGGTAGGATGTGGATTTGCCCTCTGACCCCTCTTGTGGCCGGCCGGGGCTCCCAGGTGCTCCAGGACATACCTGCCCCACATATACGGCCCATACAGCCGCTCGGCTGCACTCAGCCACTGCTCCACCACGCCCGACAGCTTGCTGGTGGCCATGGACAGGAGGCACGGTTCGGCCCACACACGGCTCCTATCATAGCAGGTAGAGCATGAGCTGAGGCTCACTCTGCCTGCTCACCTCACCAACCCCTCCCTCTGCTCACGTACCACCCATGCCTTGTCCAACCTGACTGAAGGCCAGCTCGCTCCTACCCACCCTTGCCCCTTTCCTCACTGGAAAGCCACTACGCAGGCCCTCTTGTGGTAGGGGCCAAGCCAAACATGAAGGGGCTGTTTGGTTCATTTTATCTCTAAGTCGAAGGAACCTGCGTGGGCTTGACAAGGATGCCCGGTGGTCAGGGGCCAGGCTGCCAGGTCTGGGGGTATGTGGGATGAGAGGAGCCTGGAAGGAATGGCCCCAGGCCATGGCAACGAGGCAGGGCTGGTCTCCACAGTGTGGGGTCTGGTGCAGACCGCACACCCAGCCTGTGGTGGGATCTCCCCAAGGCCCAGGGACCCAGGTAGCAGCAGCAGCTGCTGCAGGAAGCAAGACTCAGAGACTCTACCTGGGCCCAATGTCTGCCGGCTGCAGGTCCCCGGCCACCAGGGCCACGAGGTAGGCGGGAACAGGGTGCTCCATGTGGAAGTGGTAGACGCCCTCCTCCTCCACGTAGGTGCTCTTTGTGGCGCTCATCAACACCTGCACCCCCAACGGGGCCTGCACATGGGAGGCCCCACCCATCAGGGCACCTACAACTCAGATTAGGCACCCCAAGTCCCCAGCAGAAAATCCTACAACCCAGGTCAGAAAAACCCATATTCATGTAGGAACCCCACATTCCCTCAAGAGGGCACACCGCAACTGAGGTTAGGGAGCCCAGTGTACTCCTGAGAAACCCCATGCCCTCTGTCAGGGTACCCACAAACTGGGTCAGAGAGCCCCACACCTGTCAGGGAGCCCATTACCCCATCAAAGAACCCCCATGCTAACTTCCTTGTCTGCAAACCTCTTGCCCCCCTGGGTAGGGCTGCCACCCGCAGGCCCAGGAGCCCTGTCCCCTGCCATGGGACCTGCAACTCCATGTGAGCCTCCTCTCAGGGTTCTTTGCTCATTCCAGGACCAGGACCCCAAACACCAATAGCCCTTTCCCTGCAGAGCAACCCTCCCCCCGCCCCCCAATGAGGAGGGTGGGGTCCTTCTAGGAAGATGATCCCGCTGGGCCTGGGTGGAGTGAGAGGCCAGGTGGGTAGGTGTTGACCTTGACTACGGCTGAGTAGGTACACTTGACAGCAGGTGTGTCAAAGCAGGGGAAGAAGGAACGGTTGCAGACAGAGTGGCCTTGGGTGAAGACGAAGGGCTTGGCACTGCCGTAGGTCAGCTCGGGGTCCAGCCACCAGATCTGCAGACAGGCAGAAGGCAGGGCATCAGTAGATGCCCTCCCCACCACAGTGGGCCCAAACACGCTGTCCTGCTCAGGTTTCTAGGCCCAGAGCCTCTGGAGGAAGGACACAGGGGGCTGGGAGGCAGTGGGTGGCCTAACTAGGCTCACCCAGGGCCAACAGCCACTCCAGTCATTAGCAGGCAGGGGGACGTGCATCCAGAAGCCAGCCTCTGCCCCTCATCCCAGCCTCCAAAGGGAAACCAAGGCACAGTCAGATCACCCGAGTCCAAATCCTCACAGGCTGGCTGGCAACAAATCTGGTCTTGGCCCGGAAAGGGAGCCAGGACATAGAAACAGCTTCCTGATGATCCCACATGAGCAAGCACCCCAAGCTTGGGGTCGCCCCTGGGAATGGGATCAGCCTCGCCAGGAGGGAACCCGCATGGGAAGATAAGCTCCAGACCAGGGGACAGTTGGGCAGTAAGCTGAGGCCAGGCACTCAAAGGGACAGGCAGGACAGAAGTGCCCATGGGGAGGGCCAATGGGGCCCGTGCCTGGAGCACTATGGACAGGTCCCACAGCAGCCTGTGAGAGGCTATAACCCCTGCCAATGTTCAGACTTCTTCAACTCTCCCTTTAGCTGTGTCTCTGTCCCTTCACCACAGAGAGCCCGCAGCGGTAACTTGCTGATCCCCATGGCTGCCCCATTGGCTACGGAGCCCTGTCTTGAGAGCCTGTTAAAACATGCAGACTTCTGGGGCCCAGGAATCTGCATTAAGGAGATGCCTCCCACTGCAATATACTGCAGGCAGCCCTCTGTCCACCCTGGAGACAGGCTCCATTAGTCCCCCAAACTCCCTTCCACCCTACCACCACAGCCTCTCATGGACCCCTCCCTCCCCTGTAGCCCTCCTCGGGCTCTACCCAGCTCAGACCTCCTGTCCCCACTGCCCACATCCATCTCTCAGCCCAGTGGACACCGCTCACTCCTCAGCCTCAGAGATCAATGGGTGCCATGGTCCTCCCTGGAAGTCAGGGGTTGGTGCAGATACCCAGGCAGGCAGGACCCACTCCAGAGGGGGCCACAAACTCCTAGGTGCACAGGGCCAGGGAGCAGAGGTGTAGGTGCTGATAGGCTGGAGAAGGAGCAGGCCCACGGGCTCCAGATACCACATGGCTGGAAGAGAGTCACTCTTGCTGGTGGGTGGGTGGGGTTCGGGAATGGGTTACAAGGAGCATGGGCCCCAGAGTCTGCAGCACCCCAAACTGCCTCCCGGGGAGCTGCATTTTAACTTGGTGTAAGGACAGGCTTAGGGACTCAGGCCCTGAACCCTGGGGCGTTCACACATGATGATGAAAATTGAGGACAAACACCAAAACTCTGTCCCCCACAAATAGACCAGTTCATGGGCCAGGTCCCTTGTGCTCCAGCCCACTGCCCCCGAGGTGCACAGACTGTGGGGACCATGCTGCCCCGCCTATCTGAGCGCTCACCCATGGGGCCCACAGCAAGCCATAGAAAGCCCAGGGACAACAGCCACCCTTGCTGGCCTGGCTCCATCCCCACTGGGCTATTGAGGGCCCCGATTCCACTACTTAGCTGGTCACAGTCTTGGGTGAACCAGACACATGGGCTCCAAGTTCATATAACAAGGTCAGAGAGGAGCACATCCCTCTAGTTCTCACTGCTGTGTTGGGGGGCATATCTGTCTGAGCCCCAGACTGCCCCTGCAGGCAGCAGGGGCCATCCTAGCCACTGGTGGCCAACACACCCAAGAGAGCTCAGGGAAGGAGGGGAGGTGGCAGGGCCTACTAAGTGCTCCTGGGAATCATGCAGGAAAGCCCAAAGTTATGTGTCTGGTCCAGGACCTTTCTGTCCAGATGTCACCTTGGTGGCTACTGGCCGAATGCCTGAACACCACCTGTTCATCATCCTGTCCCTTTTCATGCCATGGGCAATATCAGACGGGCCTTCCAGGGCTGTGTGCAGAGGGGTGTGTGTGTGTGTGTGTGTGTGTGTGTGTGTGTGTAGGGGGTGGTATCACATGTGTGCTGTCCACATGGGAGCCCAGGGCCATCCAGCTTTTCTGGCAGAGCCTCTGGGGCAGTGGGAGCTCTGTGCCCAAGAACTGCAGAGCTTACATGTGTCTGTTGGGGACATAGGGCCACTCCACCACAGCATCCTGCCAGGAGGCCCAAAGCATTAGAGCCAACCTGGCCCTCAGCCCCCTGCTCCGCTAGGTCTGCCCCTCATGCCACCTCCAGAAAACAGACCTGGTGTCCACAGGTCCTCAGAAGGCCCAGGTCACACGGAGGCCCTTCCATATCTGACACCCTTGGTCCAGCCCTCAGTGCTAGGCTCCAGCAGATTCATGGCTTGGCAAATGCGCCGTCTCTAGGCAGGGCCTGTCCCTACACAACTGAAAGGAGAGGCCTCCCTTGGTGGCATGCTGTTACTGGGCCAGCACTTGGGCTCTCACTCTGTCCAAACCTCCTAAGGACTCTCCAGGCACCAGCTGGGAATCAGTGAGGGCACTTGAACAGGATTCCAATAACAGGTTGGGGAGTGCCAGAGGAGAGGCCAGTGCCCCTCTGGGGCCAGTCTGTTCCTGCCTCCCTGCAGGTGCCCCAGCCTCACGTCCAGTAATCTGGCAGAGGGGGAAGAAGCTGCCTGGAGACGACCCCACGACCAACCCACTGCCCCGGGCCCACCCGGTCGGGACTCACGGCAGGGGCGTCGGTCGAGGTGTAGCGGAGGATGACCTGGAAGGGCTGGTGCGCCTCCAGCTCAGGCGGCAGCGTGACGGTGAGCGAGGAACCATAGTCGGTGAATGGGTCCACCCTGAAGGCCAGCGGGCAACAGGAGGGCTCGGTTTCGGGCTCCTCGGGGAAGGCGGGCAGCGGGGGCGGGGGCGGGGGCGCGGACCCGGGTCCGGGGGTGGCGAAAGCAAAGGCGCAGGGCGGCTCGGCGGCGGCGGCGGCGGCGGTGGGGGCGCGGCGGAAGGCGGCCGAGTGCAGGCGCAGGGCCGGGTGCGTGTCGAGCACGAGCGCGCGGGGCGCGGGCCGCAGCGCGCACAGCTCGAGCACCAGGCAGCCGGCCAGCTCGCGCGCCTCGGGCCGCAGCTCCAGGCCCAGCTGCAGGTGGCGGAGGCGGAAGAGCTGCGCGCTGGAGGCCGAGGCCACGTCCAGGGCGGGCGGCGGCTCCGGCGGCGGGCGGGCGGGCGCGGCCTCGGCGCCGGGCGCCTTGCGGCAGCAGCACTGCGCCGCCATGCCGCCGCCCTAAGTGAAATCCATGGGCGGCTCCCCGCCGGGCCGCGGGGAGCCGGCGAAGGGTGCCGAGCGGCGGCGGCGGCCGGGCGCAGGCACAACAGGAAGTCGCGCCGGGAGCCGCCCGGTCCGGCCCCGCGCCGTGCGCCGCCCCGCTCTGGCTCCGCGGGGCCGCCGCCGGGGGCGCTGTGCGCGGGGGCCCGGGAGCCGGGGGCGCTGTGCGCGGGGGGCCCGGGAGCCGGGGGCGCTGTGCGCGGGGGCCCGGGAGCCGGGGATTGTGCGCGGGGGACCTAGTGGCCAGGCGCGCTGTGTGTGCAGGGGGGAGGACGGCGAGCGGGAGGCGATATTCACGGGTGTCCTGGGCGCTTTGCGCTGTGCACAGGTGGCCCCGGGCGCTGTGTGTGGGATACCGTGGGCGCTGTGCGCCGGGGATACTGTGAGCTCGGTGGTGTGCTCGGGGCCGGACTGGGAGTGGGGCTCTGTGCGCAGATGGCCTGGCACGGGGCACGGGGTTGGGGATGGGGTAGTGAGTTGGAGCTGGGGCCCAAGGGCATTGTGCTTAGAGGATCGGGTGCACTGGGGTCGGGGTGTGATAGGAGGCGAAGTGGCCTCCCCGCCCTGTGGGCTTCCACGTCCAGGAGACCACAGGAGGCGCACTCCCGCAGGGTCTGTGGCTGCTGAGACACCTGGAGCAGGACTGCCTCCATGAGGCCGAGAAGTGCAGCGTTTGGAACTCAATGTTATTCTATCAGGGGCTGAGGGAGTGATTCTTATATTCCCCCAACTAACTGGTGAGATCAGTGGCCCTATTCTGGGCCATGTAGGATGAGGCGAAGCTCAGGGGCCTTAAAACTGTACTGCCAGTTCAGGTGGCTACTAGCTACGAAGGTTCAGCTCCTCAGTTGCGCCAGCTGTTCCCAGGTCTCCCTGTGTTTGGAGTGCATGTGTGGAAAGTGGCAACCACGCTGGACAGAGAGGGTATTCCATCATGGAAGAAAATTATGTTGGACAGTGCTGCCTAACAGCCTGCAGAGCCCTGTGGGCCAGATTGTTTAGGGGGTGGGTGCTGGGGCAGTAACCAGAACTGGCCTGCCTGCTCTCACCCCACCTGTCCAGTCCTGGGCCCAGAGGGGACAGCTGCAGACTAGGCAGGACGCCCAATGAGAGGGCCACGGAATGAGAGGGACCACCAAGATGTTGCTGTCAGCGTCGCATAGGAACGCTGGGTCTTGGGGGAGGGGCTTTTTGGCCTTGAGAACATCCAGGAACCCCACACACCTTTTTTCCCAGTTCACTGACCATGTGGCAAGGTGTGAGGCTAGACTAAGACACTGCACTTGACTTAATTGTCATCTCTGAGTAGTGTTGAATCCTTCTGGACTCAGTGTTCCCACTGGTAACCATGCCATCCTGCCTGCCCTCCTCCCCCAGGGGTGGGAACGACAGCTGAAAGGGAAGATGTGTGTTTACTGATACAGAGCACGTGCATTGAGGCATGTGCCATCTTATCTTGGGGTCACAGCCTCTCTCTTGGGGCCGCCACCAAACTCACTGGGAGCCCAGTGTTCCTGCAGTCACCTGGAGAAGGGGGTCGGTCCTGAACCAAAGACTCAAGGAGAGGACTGGGGTTGATCAGTTCTTGCTGTCCTCAGTGGTCCAACACCCTTCTGGTGGCAGTGGTCCCACGGCATGAGGGCAGTGTTTTAGGTGGCACTCCAGTTGACCAGCTTCTCTGAGTTCCACACCCAGGCCAGTGAGGCTGGGGCTAGATCAATAGGACTGCACAAGGGCACCTGCACTAGCCTGCCCCAATTACCCTCAGGCAGGTATATAAGTCACCTGAGCCTTTAGGGTAAGTAAACATCAGGGACTTCTTGCCCTCCTGGTACTTAGGGGTAGGGGCTGGGTTTTATCCCTTCTCTCCTGGAGGGCCCTGGGCACATAGGAGGGGTGGAATGGTGGCAGCCTTGCTGGTCCAGAGGAGCTGTTACCTCCTTTGCCCCCGGAGTGGGGTCCCTTCCACCCCGCATTTATATAAGGGAGCAACACAAACCAGTCTTGGAGCAAATAGACCCATTTTTAAGAATTAATGCCTGGCTATCAAGGCACCTTATGAATCGTGAAGCTCAAGTAGTTGTCTCTACCCTGTCCTTGTCCTGCTGATGAAGGTCTGGGGTGGCTGCAGTTCCCTCCCTCTTCCTGACCTAACCAGGCGAGAGGAACGTGGAAGTCTGGAATGCCAGAGGCTGGGGTTTCACAGGAATTTTCATACTCCAGCCTTTTCGGGATCAAATCAGGCTGGTGGGGATGGACTGAAGCACCCCACATTCCACCTACACCCTAGCCCTCCCTTAATGTATGTGATCCGTGCACTCCCTTTCAAGTGGCAGGGTCAAGGGAGGAGAATGGGTCCCTGACCTCCCCCTACGAGGAGGTAGATGTGGAGGCCAGGGCTGTCAGGAGAAGTGGTGTTCAGGAGGGGCTGTGTTGTCTCTTGGACAGAGGTCTTAGGGACAATTGGGTCCCTGGTGGGAGCCACATTGGATGATTCTCAGAACAAAGTTGATGGGATTAAAAAAGTTGATGTGACCTACAGATGTCCTACAACCAGGCCTGAACTCTGTCACCATTGCACCCTTGTCACCTAGAGCCAGGTCGTCAGGTTAGGGCGATATACTATCAAAAGTGTCAAGGGCAGGGTTCGGCTGCATCACACAGGGTAACAACCTGGTCTCAGGTCTTTGCCCCTGACCTTCAAACTGGACAAATTGCTCAACTCCCAAAGTTGCAGATGGAGCCACTAGAGCATTTGCCAAATGGAGGTGGTGGTAGACCCCCATGGGGTTGATGAAATGATGATGAGCTATGAGGAGTTTGGGGAGAGTAAATGAGAGCTGGCAAGTCTATTAAAGTTGTAGGAGTCAGGTTATGACTGGGGCTGCGGCTCTCAGCGATGGGGGCTACTGAGTGGGACTGGATGTGGTGGTGTATGATCTGAGTCAGGGACCAATGGATGGCATTGTTCCTGTGACAGTTCAGGAGCAAAAGTGTTGGGGAGAGGGAGGCCCCTTTCACAACCACTCATGCCTCACAAAGTGTTAGCTTCCTGTTCACACAACTCTGGGCTCTGCTGGGTCAGAGGTCTTCATTTCCAGGTAGGATGCTTTCACCCAAGGACAGACCCTGTTCCCCTGGATGTTTTCCTCAGAGGCATCATGCAAATCAGGGGTGCTCTGCTGGGGGTGACTGATCATGACTTTCAAGGGCAGTGGGGTTCTGCTGTTGCTCAGTGGGGATCTGAGGGGCATGATGGAGCTTGTATGGGATTCCCCGATTGTATGGGAAAATGCAGGCAGGACCACTTGTGGCCCCTGCAGGATGAAGCCTTGTCATCCCACCAGGAAAGACTACCACCAGCAAAGAGTTAGCTGAAGGTGAAGGGGATTCAAAATGTGTAGTGGGAAAGGGAAATCACACTAACTACAGTTAGTTTATTCATTATTTTATGTATATATTTCTACATATTAACCTGAAACTCACATTATAAACCTGAGAAAGAAGACATCTACTAAGAAGGGCTCCTAGTGACTAACTGGGCTCAGATTTTAAGAAAAAGAGTCTAGCAGTCATTTCCACACAGAGGCCTCTCAAGCAAACTGCATTTCAGGGAGAGGCCTGCATTGAACTGCCTGCCTCCACTGTGTTCCCGCTATCTGAGCCTTATGCATGAAAGTCGTGCAAGAGTAGTCCTTCACAGCCCTGGCTGCCTTGGCCCTCGAAGCCTTAGCTTTCTCCAGAAGGTCGTCCGGACAGTCATTCCCCTGTTTGGCTGTTCAGCTGATTTACCTATTATGCTTTTATTATTATAGATTTCTGGAATCCTATTTCAACCAATAGGACTGAGGCTTTCCCAATTCAATCAGAGTTGTCCAGCTATATCCCATCAACATCTTCACCAACCAATCAGAGCAATCAACCATTCTGAGCAATTAGGAAAGTATCCTTTGGACCAATCAAATTGTGAGAATTTGGGGTTCTCGTTGTATGGGGTCAGACTACTCAGGGACCAGGGGCATGGCCTTCTGTCCATATAAGCCAGCTGTCCTCTGGCTCTGAGTACACTTTCACTTTCACTTTCCACCTATGACTGAAGACTGTTTTCCTTGCTAGGCTGAAAAAATGAAGGTGTCTTGCTGGAACACATCAGAGCAACCTAGCACAGTGCAAAACAAACCAGCATGGAGCAGAGCAGAACATTGAGGAGAGGAGTCAAGTGGAGCAGAGCCAAGCAGAGCACAGTTGTCTAACTAGAGAAGGGCCTGGTGCCAGGGCTGCCAACTGCTCTGCTGTTTTAAAACAACTATACTGTGTTGCAATTGAGCTGTTTTGAATAGTTTCTGCACCACACCCAAATTGGGGGTTCCTGTTGGCATTGAATTGGCACTGATGATCCTTGACAACACATATTACCCAACTTTTTCTTTTCTTTTCCTTACTATCTTATTTAAGAAGTATTGCTGGTGATAAATTTCCTAATATCTTTAGGCCACAGATTGTTCATATGAGGTGTATGTTAACCAGAAGAGGAATGCACAGACTCAGATGTGCATGTGGCCAGTGCATTGTTGGTGTGAAGGTGGCTGCAGGTCAGACTAGGCTCAATGCTATTGCTGAAACTGGGAGGCATGGTAAAAGGTGGATGTGCTGGGTAGTTTGTCACAGCCTTGCCTGCATGTCAATGGCAACTACAAGTCTGGACACCATGGGCCCTTGCTGGCCTGATCCAGTGTTGGGTTCTGAGATAAGAGAAGGGATCAGTGTGAGTCTGGGAAAAAGCCACTATGGTTTGAGCACGTTGCAGACATGAGTTTGCCAGCAGCCCCAGGTGTCCTCCAGAGTTGTCCAAGTCACAGTGGCTAGCAGCCAACATCAGGGTAGCAGGTCTCTGTGATCTCTGAACTTCCCCATCTCCTGACCTTGGTTCCCGGCCTTGATTTCTCTATAATGTCTTTCTGCCTAAAGTTCAAATAGTTTTGATCTACCTGACAGTCTAACAAACTGGGATTGTGAATGGATTATACCAAGCATGCCAAACTCAAAGGCTAACACGGGCCAAATAAACAAGGTTTAAATTTATGTGGGCAGTAAAAAAAAGAGCTTTATTTTGATAGAGACATGCTGAATACAAAGGGCTAAAATAAATAAGTAATCATTAACATAAAATAATTGAACATTTTAAATAAAAATTAATGCTTTTTCTTGAACATTAACTTACCAGACATTGAATAACTGCACAAATTAATAAGCATAATACAAATAACCTTCTTTTTCTTATTCTCCGAAAGCAAAATATTTCCTGTTACATATACCAAACAAGTCAGTCCAAGACTAATGACGCGGCAATTGGCTGCTAAAATATTCTCTGCTAGTATTAGTGGAAAGAAATGGTGCGCCTTTAAGATGCATAAGGGAAATTAATGCAATACAATTATAGTAATCAGTCATTAGTGAATGTTGTAGTTTGTTATTACTAGAGGCCCGGTGCATGAAATTCATGCATGGGAGAGGGGGGCATCCCTCAGCCCAGCCTGAGCCCTCTCACAGTCCAGGAGCCCTAGGGTTGTCTCTGGGGAAGGTGGGCCTAAGCCAGCAGTCAGATATCCTTAGCACCACTGTGGAAGCAAGAGAGGCCCCCCCACTGCGCCAGCCGTGAGCCTGTGTTGAGCATCTGCCCCCTGGTGGTCAGTGCACATCATGGCGACAGGTCATTCCTTATCAGCCTTTTATTGTATAGGATTATGTATAACAGGATGTTGTAAACATTAAGTTACAAAATATTTATTAAAATGTTTCTTACATACTGTTACATTGGCTGGGCTGCAAAAACATTAGTAGTGGGCTGCATTACACCATCCCAGGAAACTCCCAATCTGGCTTGGGGATTGGACTGACCAATCAGGGTTCACTGGGTGGAGGGCTCCGAGGTCAGGCGGTACCTGGACTGCAGGCCCTCCTCATACTTCTGGAGCTGAGACCAGAAGCCAGGGTTGGGGTCGGCCACGGGGCGGGCGCTCTTCACTGTCTGCAAAGGAAGGGGATTAGGTAAAACCCCCGCACAGCACTCGCTGTAAAGTCCTTAACTGCCCACCACCAGGGGAGTGCCCCGCCCCGGCCCGGAGCCCCACCTCGCTGAGAAGGCTCCCACCCGCCGCCCCAACCGACCCCACCTGAGGGACCGCCCTACCTGGAAGGCCTGCTCCAGGCTAAGGCCACGGTGCCGCATGAGGTACGCGGTGCAGACGGCGGCCGAGCGGCTGCGGCCGTTCTTGCAGTAGACGAGGCAGGCGCCGCCGGCGCGCACTGCGGCCTCCATGGCGGCGCAGGTGGGCTCCAGGTGTGCCAGCAGGTCCTCGGCCGGGTCGTCGAACACGGGCACGCGCAGCTCGGCCACGCCGGACGCGCGCGGTCCGGGCTGCTGGCGCGAGACGTTAACGCACAGGGTGACGCCCGCGCACGCCAGCAGCTCCGACGCGGCTGCAGTGCGTGCGTTCCCGAGGAAGAGCGAGGGGGCGACGTGCGCAAACGGCGGCTGTGTGGCCGGGGCGCCCCCGAGGCGTTCGGCTCGCCCGGAGTCCATGACGCGCTCAGGCATCTGGCCCGGGGTCTATTTTGGGAAGTGTGGAGGCTGGCCAGGGTCCTAAAGGTGCCCCAGGGCCGCCCGGGGCGGTCAGCATCTCGGCTGTGCACGAGCGGGTCCCGCCCACAAGCTCCTGGCCACCTCCTCATTGGTCAGGCCCTGATGAGCGCCACCTCTGATTGGCTACGAATGCTATGTGTGGGCGGATCTTACCAGCAGACTCCAGAGGCGGGTTTTCTGGAACTGAATGAAGGTCCCGGCCACCGGAGAGCTTAGCCGCACCGGAGTGTGACCTTGCGGGAGGGCCATGTGGGCTGCAGCGGGGCTCCGGGAGGGGACATCTCATCTCATTTTTAAAAAAATATATTTTTATTGATTTTTTACAGAGAGGTAAGGAGAGGGATAGAGAGCTAGAAACATCGATGAGAAACATCTACCAGCTGCCTCCTGCATATCCCCTACTGGGGATGTGCCCGCAACCAATGTACATGCCCTTGACCGGAATCAAACCTGGGACCTTTCAGTCTGCAGACCAACGCTCTCTATCTACTGAGCTAAACCATTTTAGGCATGCATCTCATCTTTTATGTGGCTGTCATAAGGAGGAGCAAGGGGGCCCTGTCACAGATCCTCTTCCGCACCTGACCAGTGTCCTCAATATCGTCGTCTTGGTAAATCGCCTGGTTTCATGTAATTTTCTTTTTATCATGTATTCTTAATAACTACTTTCTACAACTGTATTGCGGGCTGAGGTGTCCTTTAGTATAGCTTTATGCTTATTCCTTCTGTTATCTGCTTCCTAACAAGTTGCCCTTTGTAATGTCTGCATTTTATGTCCCTTTTGTTTTTTTAAATATATTTTTATTGATTTCAGGGAGGAAGAAAGAGATAGAAATATCAATGATGAGCAAATCATTGATCTGCCTCCTGTACGCCCCCCACTGGGAATAGAGCCCACAACCTGGACATGTGCCCTTGATCAGAATCAAACCTGAGACCCTTCAGTCTGCAGGCCAACACTCTATCCACTGAGCCAAACTGGTTAGGACTATTTCCCTTTTATTGTAAAACATAGTTTATAGTTTATATAAAACTATTTACTATTAACTTAATTTTTTTAAATGAATACTAGTTTTTTTTTAAACTAGTATTTTTGTTATTTTTCTAAGTTATTAACTTTTGAGACATCCCTGTTAACTTCAAAAAGTTAATATTTAATGTTCACACAGTTGCCTCTTCAGTAAGATTCATTAAGAACTGATAGATCCTCCCTTCCTCCAGTTGATGGACAGAGGTAAACTCCACCCGCAGCTGGACATTCCCGAGCACTGAACCACCAATCAGCACCTGCCAAATACCCTAAGCCCCGGATTCCTAAGTCCCTAGGTCCCTAATCATAGGCCTTACATGAAACCACAAATCAGCGTGTGCTTAGTGCCCTAAGCCCCGTCCCCTCCCTCTCCACCCCTTAAAGGCGCTTGTATCCTGGCTCTCCGTCTCTTCTGCTCCTCTCTCTGGAAGCAGCCGGCAGTGGTACTCTTCTCTTCAATAAAGTCTGTGTCTTGGCATCCTGGTCTCCGGCTCCTTCTCTGTTTCATCTTTCAAGAACACCCCTTCAAGCCCAGCAAGGGGTGGTTGAGCATCAATCTATAAACCAGGAAGTCATCACAGTTGGATTCCCAGTCAGAGCATATGCCCAGGTTGTAGGCTTGATCCCCAGTGTGGGCAGTGTCGCAAGTGGCCCATCACTGATTCTCTCTCATCATTGCTGTTTCTTTCCCTCTCCCTTCTCCAAAATCAATAGAAATATATATATTTAAAAATAAAAAGAATACCTCTTCAATAGATTTTTCTGATGACAGTTCCTTTTAGGGAATAGTTTCAGCGAAAAGTAACTGATTGCAGCCTTGCATATATTTACTTAATTGCAATGGCAATTTTATTCTAATGACAGTAAAATTTTCTGATTCATCTCCATTGTTTGCCTAAGATTTGCAATCCATTCTACCAGAGAATATTCTCCAGTACCAACCCTCTCCCCCACACCTAGTACTGGATAAATCTGACTAAATGAACCTGTGTATAATCTCTGTGTGATCTTGATTTTCTTAGTTCAGTTACAGCCTCCAAGCACTGGTAACCATCAGATCTTTTGTTACAACCTGGGCCAGCTCCTTTCTGAGCTAAAGACTTAGAAACCACTTTGCAGCCATGTCTTCATTGGCTGCAGGTCTGGACATCTCCCACAAAAGCCCTCCCAGAATCCATTTTCTTCTTCTGCCCTAAAGACAGATGGGCTTTCTTGGGATGGAGAAGCAATGAAATTCCCATTTTCCCAAGTTCATGGGAGCCAACCAAATAGATTTTCTGTCCCCCAGTTCTGGAAGTGGGTGCTAATTACCTCTAGCCAATCAGTAAAGCTGTTACCCCGTTATTGCTTCATCAAAGGGCTTGAGCTCTCAAGAACCAATGAGGAGAGGAGCATGGAGATCTCCATTTTATCCTTAACACCACAGGGGAAGGCAGTCTTGGGTGAAAGCTATGCTGGGAGAAACTAGATCTTGACATTGCTGGGCCACTGAACCAAACCAAACCTGAAGACCTTCCTATTGGGGCTGTTTGGTTTCCTGAGCTAGCAAATCACCCTTTATTGTTGGAGGATGAGGTGGGTTTTCTGTTCCAAGGCCACCCAAACACCGAGGAAAGAATAACTTATGTTGGTTTAAGCCACCCAGTTTGTAATGCTTTGTTACAACAGTTTTAGGAAACTAGTACACTGCCCAATACAAAAGATTAGGCAGTAATTAAAAAAACATGGTGTGGGGAAGAGGGTTTTTGATATCTAAATCCAGCCTACCACCAGGAATGCTCAGGGCCTACTCAAGAAGACAAATAATCCTATCCCCTAATATTTACACGGTAAAATAAGATTGTTTTAGAGTAATAAATTTGACAGTAAAATAGTAGACAAGTATTCAGGCTAATTTAAATTGCCTAATTGAAATAAGTGAATATCCTAGAAAAACTAATTGCACTGGACAAAAAGCTGTTCCTAAAGTGTTAACTAAAATTTTTATCCTGAGATTTTATCTCAGGATAAAATCTCACAACAGGAAATGAACCTAAAGCAGTCATATTATAGTGCAAAAATTAAAATTTAAAAGCTATCAAGACTATAAAATTTTCAAAAGCCTCCTAATATTTAAATAAAAAAGGGGGGGACATAGAAGAATATTATGTAAGAAAAAATATCCTGAAAGTAAATTACATCTAGAAAATTTGTATTTTAGAAAATTAATTATAATGTTATCAGCAATACACCCATGAAAAACACACATGGTATCAAAACAAGGCAGAGGAAAATCATTTGGGCAAAAAATGAAAAAGGATCCCAAGTCAAATTTATAGAAATCTTTATTAACTTTTGGTCCAGAATATGTTTGTATATTTTCAGAAAACAATTCCAAGACCATGTGGATTCTGGCAACAGAGAGGAATTGACAGCACTACTCCAAACATGAAGACAGAAGAGAAGCAGTCAAGAGATGGAAGATGCTGACGACACCTAGCAGACAGCAGCCTGCATGTTGCTGAAGGTGGCCCAGGACCAAACCAGAGAGGGTCGGACCTGCATTACCACCATTTGTCCACCATCCTGATCTGAAATATCATTGCTGACATAAGGAACTGTTTGACATTGAAATTGGGTCTCAAAAGAACTGGTGGCCCAGAAAGAAACTCTCTACAGACTGATTCATATGCCTGATTCATATTGCTTGTCTCATTTTTTATTCTTATATTTCTAGTAGGACATGATCTCACTCATCTAGGGCAGTGTTTCCCAAACTTTTAACATATGTATACCCCTTCTATAATTTTTGTAACGCTGAGTACCCCTCATATTCATGAGAATGTAGAATTAGGTGCAGCTAAGCATGGTGCAGTGCATATCCCCACCAAACTCTGGTGCAACTCGTACCCCCACCAAACTCTTCCCGTATCCCTGGGGGTACGCGTACCACACTTTGGGAAACACTGATCTAGGGGAAATGGTAAACAACATAGACTGATGAACAAGAACAGACCCAGAGATAAGGAGCCATTGGTCAGACTGTTGGACTTCAAAGGGAGTGTGGGATAAAAGGGAGAGATCAACCAAAGGACTTATGTGCACACATATGAGCCTAACCAGTGGTAGGGGACAATAGGGGGGTGGGGGCATGAGTGGGGGTGGGGTGGGGGATTGGAATGGGGGATTGAGGACAAATATGTGATACCTTAATCAATAAAGAAATTTTGAACTTCAAAGGGAGGATGGGATAAAAGGGAGAGATCAACGGAAGGACTTATGTGTACACATATGAGCCTAACCAGTGGTAGGGGACAATAGGGGGGTGGGGGCATGAGTGGGGGTGGGGTGGGGATTGGAATAGGGGATTGAGGACAAATATGTGATATCCCCACACACACACCTATTTGTGGCAAATCTGACTTTTTGGTGAAATTGGCCAAACAATTCTAAATACTAAAATGTGATCCAAAAAGAGGTGTTCTGGAGACTTCTGACTTGTCAGTCTCAACAGCTAATCCTTCTCTCCCAGTGACCCCAGGCCTCTACCTCATCTAGTTCCCCCACCAGACCTTGAGCTCCCCTTCTGTGCCTCCCACAAACATTTACTGAAGGAAAGGAAGCCCTGCTTCAGAGTCAGGCAGAGCTTGATCAAGTGCTGGCTATACCGCGATGGTAGACAAGTTAATTTAGCCCTCAGCTGTGCTGCGGGGTATGTCCTAGGCCAGAGGCTGACTCAGCGTCCTGTGTTGGGCATGGAGGTCAGTGTCAGGTGGAGACCCATTGCCAGCTCCCCGCCCTCCCGCTGGGGAGAGGGGGGACTCAGACAGAAGGCCAGGAGCACTTGTGGAGGTGTGGGGGCGCAAGGGGAAGGTGTGTGCCCACTGGGTGGGGGCAGAGGGCAGAAGGGCCTGGGGTTTCTGTGAAGTCACAGAGGGCCACACCT